TACCCTGGGTGGCTACCCTATTCCCTCAATAAATTTGCCTTGATCTTTCCCAAATCCTCAACCCTAGCACTTTCCTTTCTGATGGCGTCCTAATCAATCTAGCATCAAAGGAATAGATAGTGCCACTGTCTGCAGCTCCCCATACATCTGGACAAGGCATATGTTGCCTTATTTTTCACTCCTAGCATGTATTGAATCTCAAAATCTTACCCCAACAACTTGGACAGCCACCTCTGATGTTCCTCTGTCACCATCTGCTATTCCAGCATGTATTTCAAGCTAAGATGATATGTCCTGATAATGAAATGCCTCCCTAGTAGGTAGGGTCGCCACTTCTGGATGACCAAAATGATGGTCATTAACTCCCTCTCATAGACTGACTTCAACCTGGCTCTAGCAGTCAACACCTGGCTGAAATATGCAATGGGCCTATGACTCTGCATAATCACTGCACCCAACTCATACTCGGGCGCATCTGTGTCCACTATGAAGATCTAACTGAAATCTAACAAAGCTATGATCGGTACCGTAGGCATAGCCTTCTTCAGGATCTCAAACGCTGATGTGGCCGCCTCTCCCTACAAGAAATCATCCTCCTTCAATTGCTCAGTGAGTAGCCATGCTATGATGCTGTAGCACTTTACAAACCTTCTATAGTAACATGTCAGTACTAGAAATCCCCTAAGCTTCATATTTCTTCTTCGCCAATAGAATTGGACTAGATAAAGGACTAATACTAGATCTAATGATGCTTGCCTCCAGCATCTCTCTAATCAACTTTTCAATTGTGTTTTTTTTAAGCTGAGGGAAAATGATAAGGCTGTAAGCTGATGGGTGACACACCCTCCCTCAAAATGATGGCATGCTCTTGTTCCCTCTGCGGTGGCAATCCCTGATGTGGTTGAAACACCTCTTGGAATTGTTGAATCAGCGGCTGTATAGAGAGGGGTATGTCCCCTCCCTCTTCCAATCTAGCTCCCTCAAAACTGTGTAGCTCCACCAAATATCCTTCACCCGCCAACTGTATATCCCTCGTCATAGTTTTAAGAGAAACCATGGATTTGTATAGCCCTGCATCTCCCTTAATCATCACCTTCCTTTCATCTACCATCAACTCCATCATGAGTGTTCCCCAATTCACCTTTGTGTCTCCCAAAGTCTGCAGTCATTTCATCCCCAAGATGATATTTGTACTCCCTAACTCCAGTGGAAGAAAATCTTCCCTCACCTGAATCCCCTGGATAGTCAGCAGCACTCCTCTGTAGATCTCCTAACATTTCTCCATCTTTCCCATACCCATCATTACCCCGTAACAACCGGTATCCACCAATCTCACTCCCAATTGGTCGACGACCTGAGTGGAAATGAAATTGTGAGTAGCCACACTATCAATGAGTACCGCCACCTCCCTTTCCTCTATCTCCCATTTCACTTTAATGGCATGATTCGTAGTGAATCATACCACTGAGTTTAGGAAAATATCGGCCAGATCTAAATGCAGCTTCTCCTCCATCTCCTCCTCTGACCCCTCCTCACCTCCCTCAGTTTCCTCGTCATCACAGATGGTTAGAACCTGAAGAGTTCAGTCCTTACACCGATGCCCTGGCGTATATTTCTCATCGCACCTGGAGCACAGCCCCTTAGCCCTCTTCTCCTGCATCTCCTTCTCTGTCAGCTGCTTGAAATTTCTCCCACTCCCTCCTACTATTTTCTCCCTGATGGCCTCCCAACTTCCTCCTGTTGCTGGACCTTTAGGAGCTAAAAGGGTGATCGTCATCATGTAAGTCCTCCCTATGCTGTTACTCATGGCTCCCCTCTCCAGATTTCTCTGATTTTCAACTAATTGTGCCAACTTCATGGCTTCCCCCAAGTCAAAGGCATCAGAACCTTCACTGCTGCTCAAATTTATGCCTTCAACCTCTTCATGAAATTTTCCTCCAATACAGTATTTGATAATTGCTCCACCCTACTGGCCAGGTGCTCAAACCGCTCCCAGTAGTCTGTTATTGATCCTTTATGTGTCAGAGCAAAGAACTACTCATACAAATCTCCTCCCCGGTCAGTTTTGAAACATTCTATAATGCAGTCCTTGAATTCCCTCCAGTTCCTGATAGATATCCTCTGGTCTCTCCACTGGTACCATGACAGAGCCTTCTCTTCCAAGCACAAGCCTGCCGTTGTCAGCTTCTCTTCCTTCGTCAACCCATTGACGGCGAAGTACCTCTCCACCTTATAAATCCACCCATAAGCATCCTCCCCTTCAAATATGACATTTTCAACTTCATCACCATCTGATCTCCACCATTCCCCCTTATTCTTCCATAGCTTCTTCTCTCCCAATTACTTGGCCCTCCCCACGTCTCCCGATCTTCCCTTGCCCTGCCATAGCCCAAACCCCCTTCGAATTCCCCCCTTTTTTCTTCAAAATCAGCACATCGACGGCCATAGTATCCCTCCTGACGTTCCCCATATCCACCTCCTCGTTCTTCCCTCTGGACAGGCTCCAGATGGTGTCTTCTTCTTTCTACTTCCATGATTTCCACCTCATCTTCCTCCCTACAGATTTCAGAATTCATGCTTTTCCCTTCCACCCATTTTGCCATGAAAGCCACCGTTTGGTTGTAGATATCCAACATTTTCTTCATTATGTCCTGGAGATCGGCTACTTGTCCTTTCATGGAGGAAATCATTTCCTCCACCGTTGTCTTGATTTGATTCATCTCCCTTTCAAACCGTTCTTCAAGTACATCTACTTTCTTGGCCGCCATCTCAATCCGGATTTTTGTAGATCCAAAAATTTTGGATTTGGATTACAAAAACAGTAACTTTCTCCTTTCCCGACCAAAAATTAGCAGCAGGAATTCGCCCAAATCAACCCCCGAACGGTCCCAAGACTAGCTTTGATACCAATTTGATAGGAAATGCTTGAGTTCGCAAGAAACCCTAAGGGTAATACTTGAGTTCGCAAGTAAACGTACCACGAATTGGTGAAAAACTGCGATAATAGCACAAAATAATGGAGAAAAACAGCACAAATGATAGATTGCAATACGAAAATCAAAGTCAAACAAGCACTAAAACAAGATACAAGTGATCATCAATTCGAGAGGAGGATTGTCTCTCCCAAATCTCTAGACAAGAGAGTCTAGAGCCCAAGTCACCAAGAAACCCTAATGGAGAACCAAACAAAACCTAATCTCTCCCTAAACATCTCATGCTCTTAATACAAAAATTTCCCTAATCTAATCTCCCTCTCAAGACCTAGCCGCCCTCTCCTTTTGAATTTGAATTCCATTATGCTAGTGGGGCCCACCATGTGGGCGGCCAAGAGCAAGGGATGCAGACATGTTCCGCCTCCAGTAAACCTGAGCCAGCCCTTGGGCCAGCTGGGCCGGTACAGGGTGAACCGGACTAACACATTTTTTCCTTCAAAGTCCACCATCACCCGACCATTGGCACCACCATTTTCGTTCTTTAACACCAACTCCCTTCATCATTGTCAGTTGACAGCAACATCATCCATCATTTATTCATGAACACCACCTCCCTCCAACTCCACCATCATGGCAAGAGAATGCAAGAGAACACATAAGGTTCATGCCTTAAAATCATGCCTCCTCAAACAACGATAAAGGGTGAAGCATTATAACTTTCAATAAACATAATGCAAATGTTTCAAGTAAGCTATATCTGAGGTTTTCCCTGTCCGGATTTTCTACCAAAAAATCTTGTATCTCATACTAGTCCTATATGTGTGTTCAGGACTTTTGTGCAATGTTAAAAGATAAACACTCTCTCTATTATCATAAAATTTCAAGAACACAATAGGGATGTTTTTGTTTTGATGTAGCAATTGCATGTCGAAGTATATCTACCAACTAAACTGTCATCCTACAGAAATAGTAATATCTTGAAATAAACCTTATATTACATTAATTTACAAAACACAAAGATATGAGATAGTAATGCAACATGAAAGGGACTAAGAACTTGAAGACAATCATGAATATATAAACTTCATCGCTTTAAAAGGCACAAAAGAGAAGCATAATATTAAGTTAAGTGTTGTAGAGATGAGGATGCTCAGTGGATGAGTCGCTTTACTCTTAGAGATAGGATACGAAATTAGCATATACATGAAAAGGTTGGGGTAGCTCCAGTGGCAGATAAGATTAGAGAGAGTCGCCTTAGATGGTATGGTCACATAAAATGGCAGCCTTACGATGAACTAGTTTGGAGAGTAGATGTATTAGATTTATCCTATGTTAAGAAAGGTAAAGGTAGACCTAAAAAGACTTGGTTAGAAAATATTAGAAATAACCTTTCTTTATTAGATCTAAATGAGAATTTGACTCTTAACCGGACACAATGGAGAAAAAAATTCATGTAGCCGACCCCACATAGCGAGATAAGGGCTTGATGTTCTTGTTGTTGTTGCTGCTTTATAAGGAACAAATCAAACCAAATATAGTGATGGCCTTCAACTGAAAGATGAAATCAAACAAAAAGAACAAAATATTTCATGGTTCACAGGTTCAGTTATCAACTTATCATTATAAAAGGTTGAGGCATCTAGTTTTAGTGGCATACTTTTTTATTAAGTGCTGGACATTGGCATTTATTTTCACTAACATGTCGTATGAAGCGCTTCAAATCAGCTAGAAAAAGCTTCTGCAGGTAATGCAATGCTTCTTAATTATTTTTCAAAATCCTGTCATAACCCAATGTTGATCTGTGTCAGAAATGCGTGATGGAAAGCCCTAAACTGTGTTCATCACGGCATTATTAATTGAAACCTAAAACACATGCAACATATCCATCTGTGAACAAAAATATAACAAGCAACTTGATATCAAAGCCAAGCATTCATAAATTGGAGCATAACATGAAGACCATCGAAACAAAATATGTCAAAAATCACCATATGGCAGCAAGAGAAGAATTAAAAATTAGGCATACATTTAAAAGTTAATACCAACTGATCAGGAATGAAATCACACCTTGATTCATTACACTCCATAATATCAATTATCTTATGTTGCAATTCCTCCAAAGATTTTGGTAACTCTAACATGAAAGTAAGCATTAACTTCACCTGCTTTCTTTGCTCTTTCCCCTTTTTTATTTCTGAAGCAAGTTCTGCTTGATTCTCGATAAGCTTGGATTGAAGAATGTTTTTCTGTTTCTCAGCATCCAATAAAGCATCTGAAACAATCTTGAAATTCTGATTTATTTTATTTATCTCATTTTGGAGTCTATCAACATCATGAAATCTATCCTCCAATCTGCACTTTAACAGATCAGATTCATTTTTTGTCTCTGCAATAATCACTTCTTGCTTATAGACCTGGTCTCTCAGCATGTCACGTTCATGGCATATCGAGTCCAATTGTTCACTTTGTTGAATTACAGAAGCCTCCAAATCCGATGCAAGTTTTTCCTTCATTTTCAACAATGTTGAAGATGATTCTATCTGCTCCTTCAAAATTTTGTTCTTTTCAAGTTCTAAGCATAATTCCTTTTTTTTCTCCGAAAGGATTTCTGAAAGAGAGTCCTTCTCCTCATAACATTTCATCATAACAATTTTTATCCTGAAGAGAACATCCCTAACAACTTCTTTAAGAATAAAAACGTGAATGGATCGATCAACCTGGGTTTCCATCTCCATGCCTTCAACTCTATCTCGAAGTTCACCAGACAATTGCCTCAAAGCACTCTTATTTATAACATCGTTATAACTCATTTCAATCTTCAAAGCCTCCGTATCCCATTGGAGTTTCTCTATCTGATCAACATCCTCCAAACCTACAAATATATTTGTTAACTGATTTGACGTATCCAAAACCTTGGAACAGTCATGTAAAGTTTCCTTCTTTTTAGCAGCTAAAAGAGACGCTAGTCGTTGATTTTCTAAAAGGATACCATCAATTTTCTCCTTAAAACTGCATAACCCTTCGTCATAAAAAATAGTACTTATATTCTCATTTTCCAAAATAATGTCATCCAACTTGGAAACAGTTTCGGCAATCCTTTTCTTCATCAACTCAGCTTCCTTGTCTTTCTTAAAATTCGAAAGATTGGAACCCTTCTCCTTGAAAAACAAACGCTTAATGCTGAACAATTCCTCTGTCTTCTCTTGCAAAGCAACATCATGTTGTCTTTTCATCTTGGCCATTTCAGTTTTAAAGTAGGTTATGAGCTCCTCCTTAGTCATGCACATCAACTGGGGAGAATCGACAATAATAGGCTTGTCAAGTTCCTCAACATTCTCTATTAAAATTGGACTATTTTCACCATGGGATGCAATATTGTTTCCCACTGGCTTCCAATGGACCTGATCCTTCGTCTTCAATGCATTTCGCTCTTCCAAAATTTCATGACTGACATGCGGGAATATTAATCCCGGTTCCAAACTAATGGATGATTTATACAAATCTTCGAGTTCCCGTCGTACATTAGAAAGTTCAGCAGATTTTCTCTGCCACTTCTCCTTTAAATCAATCATAAAAGGTTTTTTATCATGGATGATTGTTTCATACTCATGTTGCAAACCTGTAATAAGGTTTTGAAGCATGGCTGTAGTACTATCTATTTGAATATCATTCTCCGATTGCTGCTCACAAATCAAAGTTTTATCAGAGGAAATTATTGCAGCAATATATGCTCTCATTTCTGTTAGCAGTGTTTCAAGAGAATGAATACACCCCTCCACTATCTCAAATTTATGGACACCTTCTATCTGAGAACAGCTTCTACACTGTCCCGCCTCCACATGTAAATTATCAGATTGACTAAGATCAGTTCTCGTTGCCCTCCCAAATTCGTCCTTGAGCTTTTGGATCAAATCTTCTACCTCGATTCTCAATCTGTTTGCATGCTCAATATGACTTATTGCACTTGAGTTTAAAGTGGAATGGCTAAACACTACATTTTCTTCCATGAAAATAGCATTTTTTTTACAATTTTCTGAGATAGCATCATGAAATTGCAACTTATTATTAAGATTTGTAATCCCTTCTTTTAAGGAAATTTTTTCAGCACACTCCTGCTCTATGGCACTAGCAATCCCTTTGATAACAGAATTACTTACCATTCTTGAGACTATCAAACGAGCATTAAGGTCCTCCATATATGAATCCATCTCATCCAATATGGACGGCTTGCAAGAAGAAAAGTCATTCCCACCACTCTCACTTACTGTGGCAGTTACATTCAGAGGACTCAATTCGTATAGTGAGAGCTCAGGCTTTCCATCCAAGGCTCCGGCATTCGTTATCTGCTCCTCCATTTTTTCGCTAAAATCCAAAACATGGAATACAAAATTATGATAATTAGCAGATTAAATACATAAAACCTGGTCAGAATTACAAAATCCATATGATGTTCATTGAAATAAATTTGACTTCGTCTAAATTTATGTAAGGGAATTAAAAAAAAATTAAGGAATACAATTTTTCAAACAGAAGAGGGCTTCGAGTTGGAATCATTCCAGACCCAAATTAGAAGGAAAGATACAATTAGCATACATTAACAGACAAGAGAACATAACCAACAAAAAGCAACACATAAACCGTATATAGATATCGCAACAAAATCAGTATCACATCATAGAGCAGCCAAAAGGAAAAAAGCCAAACGATTGGGTCCAAGAAAATCTTACAGCATGCAAACAAAAAAATCAATCAAGGACAAATACATCAACAAAAAACAAAATAAAAAACAAAAAATCGAGTTACGCCAAATTTCTTAGCAAACGAGAAAAATGAAATGAACCATTGAAAAAAAAAAACACATACAGTTGCCGAGCTGCGATCCCTTCCGTATGCTAAAAGCACCGAAGTCCAGATAATGGAGGTCGAAGAAAAGGAAACGTCTTTTGCCCCTTGCGGGTAGTTTTTTTTCTTTCTAGGGCTAGAAAGGAGAGAGCAGTGAGAAGAATCCAGTGCGCAGGAAGGACGTAAAGGTTTTTGCTGAGGTGAGGAGAGGAAAAGATGGCCGGCTATGCGGTGGTGAGTGCTTTTTTTTTTGTGTTTCGTGCGGTAATTCCCGCATAACAAATGAATGCAGCTATTAAAATTGGCCGTTGGCATGTTCTCGGACGTCAAAAGTCGCGTGTATTTTGTATATCTTGCGGGCGTTTCCTATGCGGGTTTGTTTGTATTATGTACTCGGAGTTTCAGAGGCGGGAGGATTATGAGTCCGAATGTGATGGTTTATTCATCAAAGTTCATTTTTTATACTCGTATTATTGAAACTTTTATTAGGTCCGGTGTAAGGACGTAGATGAACGTCCGGTCGGAGGCAAAGTCACGTCAAAAAAACTCAGTATTGCTAGGTATTATTTAATAATAACGAGGAATACCGCTCTGTGAAGATCAATATCGAGTTATACCGAGCTATACCGAGCAATACAAGTTATACCGAGCTATACCGAGCAATACCGAGTTGTACCGAGTTTTTTCTAGGAAAAACTCGGTAGAACTTTTGTATAACTCGGTATAGCTCGGTATAACTCGGTATTGGGTCTTCAGTGATGGTATTCCTCGTTATTGTTTGGTATTGCTCGATATTTGCTCGATATTTCTCGTTTTTTGGCGCGATTTGGCCTCCGACCGGACGTTCCTCTGCGTCCGGTCAGAGGACGTAATAATTGTTCGTATTATTGATGGGTGCGTTACTAGTTGGAATGGGCCATCCTAAAACATTTGACCTAATTTTATGAACGATCTCATCATCCAAATCAGTGGCGAATCCAGCCCATTTTTTTAGGGTGGGCAAACTCAAAAGATGTTCATTCAAGGAGTATGAATTAAGTATAACTACTAGTAATATTTTTAGACCTTTTGCCAGTTTGGCCTCCGACTGGACGTTCCTCTACGTCCGGTCGGAGGACGTAATAATTGTTTGTATTATTGATGGGTGGGTTACTAGTTGGAATGGGCCATCCTAAAACATTTAACCTAATTTTATGAACGATCTCATCATCCAAATCAATTATATTGACTGTTCCTATTAAAATTTCACTATACATTCCTTCATCTGACATGAATCTCAAGACATTTTTAAATTAGAAATTTTCAAAACTAAACTCAGGACGATACAAACTCTAATCTTAGCAAGTGTATAACAAAGCAAAATATTTTATCGAGATGAACCCAACAACATCAACAATGATTCAATAGAAGACAAAATGAGGTCAAATAATAGGGCTAGAGCATAATTTGAAACATTTGGCCGTTAATTGGGATGACCAAATAATATTCAAATATGACACTTATAATTGAATCGAGCGGCTTGACGAGATGAATCCAACAAACCAAATATCATTTAATTCCAACATCATTTAGACACATAAAAGTCAAACAATCTATGATTTTGATAGGCAACATAGGTTGTCTGATAGAGTGCTCAAGATATATTGTAGATTTTATTCATATTTATGGGACATGACAATCTAAAAATTTTATAAATAGACAATCACTTTTCACATGAGGGAAGGGTTGATACTCTTTATTAGTCAGGAAAGAGAATTTTGAGGCTTAAAAATCCCAAATCTCCACATGAGCATTACCACCAACAAACCCTCACTGCATGGCCATCACCGCCAAACCTCCTCTATGCTGACACCGTCAAACCTCTGCTCGAACGCCACCGTCCAAACTTTCATATACCAACATACCGTCGTTAGACCTCCTCTACGCAGTTGTCGTCATCGAACCTTAGACAGGCCGTCATCATCTAACTTTTATCTATCAACCACCGCCACTGGACTTTCCCAGGAAACCACCACCCACATGTCATCGTCGCTCGTCATCGTCGGACCTTTTGCTAATCAACTGCCACCCACAATCCACTGTCTTCCTCTTATTATAATCCTCGGACCACCATCGTTTTATTATGGTTCTCGGACCACCGTCGCCAGACTATGGGCATCCAATCATTATTGTCCAACAACGATCCTTCCAAACTTTGCCACCTATTGAATATAATCTTTTGGCATCAGCCACACGACTGCAATTCAACCGACATCCATCGCCCAACTATGATCCCTTCAACCAATATCACCAGACTACAAGCCTTCCTTCAGCAATCGCTCGACTACAATCACACTAACCTTGGTCGACCAACTACAGTCCCTCCAACCACCATCATCTGACTATGGTCCCATCGATCTTTATTGTGTGATTATAATCAAGTTAGTCTTCATCACCCAACAATGATCCCTCTAACTAATATCGCTTGATTACAGTCATATCGACTCTCATTACCCCCTACAATCCCTTTGCCCTTAGTCACTTGACTATGATCCCTCCAAACTCCATCGCCCGACGACGACCCCACCAACTAGCTTCGCCTAACCACGGTCCCACCCTCCTCCATCACATGAATATAGTTCCTTTGATCACTCATCGTCACCTAACTACAATCATTTTGATCAAATAAACAACAATATCTTAAGAACATTTTCTCATACCATTGAATTCTCCTGGTTACAATCATATAATGTGTTATATATGGTATATGTTGTTATATCGTGCCAAGATCTTCCTCAAATGAAGGGCATCATTTGTAATCAACGACAAACACTAGTTGAATCATTTCAATTGGGTTGGTACTGTAAAACCCGAAATGGTTGATCGTAAGTGTTGCACGCAGATCAATGCATCGAGACGACATTTAAGTAAAATTTTAAAGTTGTCGGATTTCAATGAAATTAAATTTATAAAATAGTGCTTAAAATTTCAAGCAAATTAGTATAAAGAATCTATATTTAATTTCGCTTAAATTGGTAGTTAAAAATCATATAAGTTTTATTATGCCTAAAGTACCCTTAATGATATTAAAACAAAAATAAGCCATGTGAGGGCAATTAAGACTTTTTGCAGATACCCCTAGCCGCCCATTCATAAGGGGACCGAAATCCATTCGTTCCCCATTATTTCGTTCGGCCGAACGAAAGGGAGGAGGCAGGCGGGAGAGGGCGATGGGGTGATTTCGTGGGCGGCTCCAACGGTGTTTTCTGATGGCCGAATTTGGGGGAAATCAAAGAGGAAGGCTAAGAGAAGACTAAGATATTTTTTAAGTTAAGAAAATCCTTCTTTTTCTCTAAAATTTTGGAAGAGAAAATGTTAGGGTTTGACAAAAACTTAGATTTTTTTTGGGAAACTTATTAGGAATGCTAGGGGAAGTGTTTTAATCATAAAAACGAAGTTTTCCCCAAAGATTTTTGAGATTGGAAAGTTAAGATTTTTCATAATTTGTAATTTTTAAGAAAACCCTTTACGATTTTTGTTTCATATGATATTAGGAATATTTTAATGGTGGAAAATTAGGGTTTTGGCAAAAAATATTTAGTTTTATAATATTTTTTATTCAAATAATCCAAAATTTTAAGTTAACCTAACTATTAATTAGGTTTAGAAGGGAGTTAGGCATGATTATTTGATGAAATTAATTAATTTTAGGTTTCATAAAAATTGGATTTTTAATAAATCCAAAAATAGAATTTAATTAAAGTGATTATTAAAAATATTTATGATTAATGATTAGTATGATTGTATTTATATTTATCCATAGGTGTCGATTAAGGGGGCGCCTCAAGCAAAAGCGGTGTCGTTTAAGTTTACGGTACTTGTTTTTAAAGTAAATTTCATGTTTCTAAATTTTTCTTTTATGTTAAATTTTTTATGTAAATTTCATATGTTAAAATTATATGCATTTTTTTAGTATTCAATAAATGTTAAATTTTTGTACTTATGTTTGTCGTTACATTAAGTGTTAAACCTTAAAGGTAAAATGTGATGGCATATTTCTTTAACTAAAATTTAGGTTGACATTAGAATATTCGAGTTTGAAACAATTTAGGCAAATATATATATGAATTTATGAATGACTTAGGCCCTATGATATATATTATACTTGTATGTGCATGATGATCAGGAATATCAAATGGTAAATGACTCTTCGGAGCCAATGATAAAGGGACTCTTTGGAGTTAATGGTAAAAGTGCTCTTAAGAGCAAATGATAAAGGAATGATCAAATTTGATTGTGTACTTGATCAGTACAAAACACTAGTACTTTCGGGACGGGTGTATTATATTATGATTAAGAATTTTATGCATTTAAAAAAAGGTTATGATGAAAGATAAAATTTATGAAGACTTAAAAAAGTTTAAGAAAAATAAAAGAGAAATGTTATACAATATATGCATATCAAATGTCAAGTATATTTTCATTATTTTCTTAAATTATTATGAATGAAAATTTCATACATAACATCTTTGTTTTTATTATTTCATGAATTTATGATAAATACATGTTACCTGCTGGCCATTAGTTCACCCTACTTGTGGAAATATTTTTCAGGAGAAACAGTTAGAGAGTGATGGCTGTAAGATCGTTTACCTACCATCATAGAGGATCCCATGATATTAGGTTTTTATATTCATGTTATGTAATGTTAAGGGTGTCAATTTTGGGACACGGGTCGGATTCAGGTCAAATCCGGAGCTGACCCGGCACTATTTGGGTCAAACCGAACCAGACCCATTTTTGCATATAGGTTGATTTTCCATATATACCCGAACCCGACTCACTTTGGCTTCAACAACAGCATAGATTGCACGACATCGGCTTCGACATCACAGGGCAGCCAACATTCAACAACCGAGCAGCGGTAAAGCGTGACAAATGCTGTCACGCGAGGCTTGGCAGGTGCGACAGTGCGGCAGACGTGACGACACAACAAGCGGGCAGTTTCCACGGCTTGATGCATACGGGCAGCCGAGCTGCAGGACAAGCGGGGCTTGCAACTCGGGCAGTCAGGTTTTCCGGGTCATTTCAGGTCATTTTCGAGTTTTTGGTTCAACCCAAACCCCACTCGGTTTTACAAACGTGTCGATTTTTTAGACCCGAACCCGACCCGGTTCGGGTCAACCCAAACCCAAAATTTTTGGGTCTGGTCGGGTCCAATATTGACACCCCTATGTAATGTGTTGGTTGATGCATCGTTGACTACTGTAATATTTTCAACTTATATTATAAGAGATTTC